GGAAGACCAAGGTTTGTTGGTATTGTTTACAGTGGAAGTCTGCAAAAATGAACTATTAGAAAAAGAGGGCATGATACACTGCCAGTCATTTGAAGCCTGGAAACCTTGCTGGGTTAAGGCTAATTCAAACAGATTTATAATGCCTGCACTGGAGAGTGGACAGGCTCTCCCATCTAGAGTGAAATATATATATTGAAATTTAATTATCAAAAGGCAAAGGTACAGAAACAAACAAATCTTGAAGTTAACACCAGAGAAAGTGTAGTTTCCTCACAGTATAAAAGGGAAGCTGAGAAGAGGCCTCATGTCTTCCAGAGAAACTCCACCTGAAACGACTGAATAAGAAGAAGAGATACTGTCCTCTGTCATGAAGATCAATATATATGTTTAAATGCAGACTCACTAAGGAAGCTAGTGCCCAGTTTCAGAAATTGTGAGATTTCAAGTGCAATGCTCCAGTTTGTACACATGTCCAGAAATGTGCCTAGCTAGTTAGATATCAGATAATTGGGAACCACAATGCATTATTTCTCTGAAAAAAATTCCTTAAAGACAGTTGAGTAAGGAAAATATGTCAGAATAAGAGCTGATATCAAGTTTTTAAGCTGGCCTTGAACTGTCTGTCACAGGTATGAGTGTAGGTGGAATTAAACAAGCTTTTTCTGCCTTGCTGCAAAAAATTTTAGAAAGGTTAGATGCTGACAGCCTTGAATGACACAGACATTTTGGTGAAATAAAGTTCTGCTCTCTACAGGCCTCAACCTCCTGGAAGGGCAATCCCGACCGATCACATGGCAACACTTCCAAATTGTAGACAATGATGATATCCAAAATGTTCGCTTGGTCACAGCTGATGGCTTACATCATGGGTGGCTCACAGTGAGAGGTAAATAATTTCAACTTGAGGGCCTGGAAACGTTCTCTAGTGACAACTGGCTATGATAACATGACAGTCTAATAAAGTGTTGATAGAATCTGTCGTATGTCACTCCCTGCTGAGAGCTGACAGCATAAGAGTCAGAGTTAGAACGGAATGAACACGCAGAAGGAAATACCTTTATGCATAGTAAGAAACTGAAAAATTTACAAGCTCGTAAAGAAAGTCAGTTGCACAGCTTAGACACTTTTGCAAAGAATGTATTTATGCTGTCCACATCCTTAGACAGGAGATACTTGTAAGCCTGGCATTTTGCCTACACACCACTTTCACCTGAAAATTCAATTGGTTCTTAGTTTCCACAAGTTTACTAGCTGCCCTGATGCTGCCCTGTCCCACCAAGGCTAATGGGTAACTCCCCGAGAGATACTGCTGCGACTCCACCGCAAAAACAAAACGCCAGCATGGCCTTAAATTGCTCTGTGTTGCGCAAGGGAAACAAGAAAACCCGGGGCATGAGAATGGATCTGCTACAGGTTTCCCCCTCCCACCCCGGGCGAAGAGCCAGACCCGGCCCCGCGGCAGCGGCAGGCAGGCTTGGAGCGAGCCCGGCTCCCTCTGCTGACTGCCTTCTCCTGCTGCAGCCATTCTAGTCACGGGGATTAAAACAATTCTATTGAAAAATTCAGCGTCTAAACTTTTACTTTCTTAACGTACATGTACATCCCAAAGCTGGATTTTTAAAGAAATCGGATATGCTTTCATCAGGAATGATCTAGGCGAAAGGCAGTTACTACCTTTTAACTTCTCACAATTTTTCTTGAAGATGCCAAGGAATGACAAGTGATTCTGCTTTGCTGGGAAACACAGACAACATTTGGATACAGTTGTTATTTACTGGCACATTTAAGGTTTATTTCCAAAAGTAGCAATTAAATTAGACTTCTAATTTGTTAGCCTTCTGCATTGTCAGTATTACTAATTTTGCTTTGCAATCTCATGAGTCAGCACAGTGCTGCTCTCTTTGGGAAAATGTTCAGGTAAAACAGAGTCACTCTGCTGTTGGCAGGGTGGAAAGATGCTGTCACTATCCGTGCTGGATTTTTTGACAGTTATATGTATTAATGTAAAATGCGTAGCCTAGAGACCTAAAGCAAGTACTTAAAGGAAAGGGGAAGGTGGTTTTTGGAGTTTAGTGGAAACAGAAACTATTCAGAAGTATGTTTCATCTCAGGAAACTGCCGCCTGTAGGAGTTCAGTGTCTGCACTACCATCCTCCTGTAATGCTACAAAGAGAAACTCTGTGGTGTCAGGTGTGTTAGACAGGCCCAGCCCCAGAGATGGTTACAGGGGGCTTGTGCAGACAGCCAGGGAGGGGGCTGCAGGCCATAGAGCACCTGCAGGAGCATGCAGAGCCATCTTTGTGGTTGCAGTCCCATCCCTGAAGGCAGTCCCCCAGGGTTTCTCAGCCTCCTGTGGACCAGCCAGGGCTGGATATTTCTTCTCCTGTGACCATGCCTTATTGTCTTTTATGTGCCTGCATAGGCATGTGCAAAGGAAACCATAACCACAATTTTTGGCAATTGACTTTTTTGTCTTTTTTGTTCAAACTGTAAAGGAAAGCTCAGGTTTAGCCCTCCAGCTTCACTTTAACTCTCACGCTGCTGCTGGCAAATAGTCTGAGCCATTGCCCACTGAATCAGTGGAGGGATTCCCATTACCTGCGCGGAGCAGTGAATCAATCCAATGTTTTGAGTGCTCTTTGATTGGGTTTGGTAGTCTCAGTCTAGAGCTAAAGGAAAGTCCTGAAAGAAAGAGGTATGTATGTTGTTGTTCCCTGCCTTCTGTCACCTTTAACAGGTTTTTGTTTGGTGGTGAGGCAGTTATTTCTCCATCCTAAAGTTTGCCTATAATTCTCTTCAAGTAAGGAGTAAAGGGAGTGGATGAGTGTCTCTGCTGATGTTCCACAGCATGGAGGGCAAAAAAAATATTTTCTTAGGAGGCTCCAGGGAGATAATCTCTTCCAGCACCTGCTTGCAGTTCTCAAAAGCTTTAACCTGCCTGAATGGTTGTGTGTGTGCATAACATGTCTAGTGAAGCAGAGGTGTAAAATTGTCTTATTAATAGACAGTAACCTCAATATGTACAAAACACAAGACCCACAAATGTTATTTTTTACTTGCAGTGAAATGCTGAGTTGTAATTATAAAGCATATTCTCTTTGATGCTTAAAATAAACTTAAAATGTTCCGATAAGAAAATAGAGGTTGAAATTAAAGTGGAAACAAACACAGATAAAAGTCCTTGATATCTCCAGTTATCTTTAGTGCAATGGACATTTGGATGATTTTCTCCGCAAACACAGATGCAAAATCTGCATTCTTATTAACTATTCCAACTTCTACAAACTTGTTTCCAGTAGGTGAAGTTATGTTTGACTTTTCTAGTCTGAAATGTATTCTCCTTCTCTCTCCCTTAATAACATCCATATTGGTGGAAGGATTCTCCTCTGGGCTGAACAGCACACTTTTGATACATTTTCTTCCACTGTTTTGACAGGAGGGAAAGGATTCATGTTCACAGTCTCCGACATTCAGGCTGGAGTTGTTCACTACCATCATGATGACAGTGATTCTACTAAGGACTTTGTGGTATTTAGGATTTTTGATGGCCCCCACAGTATTCGCCATAAGTTTCCAATCAATATCCTCCCTAAAGATGACAGCCCTCCATTTCTTATCAGCAATGTGGTAATTGAAGTTCATGAGGGACAGATGATCCTGATTCAAGGCTCTATGCTTCAGGCTTCTGATATGGATTCCAGTGACGATTACATACTATTCAATATTACCAAGCCACCACAAGCTGGAGAAATCATGAAGAAACCACGACCAAACTTGATAGGTAATGAAACACATCCACAATAGCACACATTTCTTTGTCCCCTCCTTTTTTAACTACATTAAATGTTACAATTAGACAACTTATTTTGGCTCAGGCCAAATCATGGCAAATCTGGACTTCTTTCATTACAGTGCAAGTCCCCATCATTAATTAATGTTGGTTTCTGCACCAGGATAACTATACCTGTGAAAGCAATTTATCCCGTAATTCTTCT